CCCCCCTCCTGGGAGAGCTTTTATGGTGGAGAAAACTAACGCCCACTGCCCTTTTTAAGTCTGGTAATCTAACCGGCGTGCGGCTCTGGTAAGGGGTCTGAATCTGCGTCTGTTGAATACAGTTAACTAGTTACAGTTTTCCTTCCAGCACTCGTGAGTCATAAAGCACACGCGCTCAGTTTCCGCCTCCCCTCCCTTTCCTCAATGTCAAAGATCGTCTCTCATCAAGATGTATCACTACCACCGCGAACCCCTTTAATAAGGGTAAACCGATGATAATGATGACTAATTACTATGGTTTAATAATAATTACTTATGCAATGGGTTACAAATGTCATTAGTTATGAATTATATACAGCATAGTTTTGTGTATGGTGTCACAGATGACAAGATATTTGGTTTAGTGTACGCGTTGACTCGTGGTATTTGAACGTAAACCACAATCCTTTGCTAACCCAACCAAAGAGTAAGTGAAAACAGAGTAAATAGTCAGTAGGAAAGGACACAAACCAGCTCTCCAGGTTTACGTGTTTGATTTGCAGCTTCAGTCGCCTCCCCACCTGCCTACTTCACACTCCTTGCAAACAAGATTTATGAGCATTAGTTTCAACTCAATAGCTAGCCACGCCTGTAATGTTTATGGCTGCATTATGGTATGTATTAATCATTTACAAAGACTTTATAAATGACACACTATGACATTATCAAGTGTTTTAACTTTGCAGACAGTGTTCTAGTACATAGCCAACAATCAGAAAATAACTAATAGTTGAAATAAATTTACCTATTTAATTATTACAATGGTATTATAAACTATTACCTGTTGAAATACATTTGGGTCATTATTATTATTATTATTATTAGTAGTAGTAGTAGTAGTAGTATTTAACATTGTTTTAATTCTTAAAGAATGCTAGAACATACATCGTGTTAAGTGAAGTAAAAAACAAAATAAAAAATTCTTATGACAACATGTATTCTAAAAATATTTTACTAATCCTGAACATAATTTTACTTGTGACAAAGATGGCCCTGGTTAGCTGGCCCTAGTGTAGAAATCTATGTAATACAGAATCCTAGTTATGTCTGGGGTTCTTTATTACATAGGTGTAGGTGTATCTCCTTAAAAGCAATTTTATTTGACATTATGCATAAATATGGGGGACTGAGTCATGACAGATTATTTAAATATGTGACAAAGTTCACATTGTTTGCACATACAGCAGGAACAATCTTAAGCCGAAATAGCCAGATTGAAAACCTCTGTAGATGTAGTTGCGCTTGGTAAGCGTTCTTACACGTAAGCATTAATGTGTCATGTTTAACGGTCACCGTAACTGTCTAACTGAAAACAAAACTGCTTGTCGTTCCACATCAAGAAGTGAGACACACACTGGGCTCAGATGACCACGAGAAATTTCAGGAAGCTGTCCCTTCACGTTGTTTCGTTATAATAAAAGAAACATAAGCTAAAACGTGTGTATATATAATCAAACCTTTCCAATACTGTCTAATCAATTATGTTATTTCACAGATAATTTATCATGACAGTCAAATCATTAAGCAAGCAATGTTGTATACATCTGATGAGTACTGAAGTCCAGGCTGAGTGAGCGCTCACCATTTTCCACCCCATCATCTTAAACATCTACTAACAGAGAGACAAAATGGTGACATTACCCAGTTTTTATTGCCGTTTACACAATGTTCTTATATCCTGTGCACATATACATCGAATAACCCAAAAAGCTTTAGTATAAACAAAATTTGAACTATGATTATTTTTCAGAATTACAAAGTTTGTCCTCACACTGCAAGCATAATTAATAAAATCTAATCAAAAACAAATAAAAAGAAATAATAAAACAGACTAAAAGGCTAGAATGATTAAAACGCCTCCTTGTTGGTTCCAAAATAAGAGTGGAGTGGCATTCTCTTCACATTTACACAGAGACAGAAACATATCATATCTGTGTAGATTAACCATTCTGTGGTCAGTATCTTTTTAGCAGTGTAAACCTATGTAGAGCTTCTGTCTTTGCTAGCATTAGTTGTATAAATCCCTCATTTTAAAATGTATTTGCTTTAATAATGCAGTGAGTGAGTTTATGAAAATATAGCTTTTCCCAAAGACACCAATATATATGTAAAATTGATTTCCTTAAAAGATAAATAAGAAAACTAACAGCAACAGTTTGTCAGTCGTGAAATCGCAGTTGAACTTGTCAGTTGCAACTGTCGCCCTGTCTTTTTTTTCCTTTCTTCTGCAGCTGTTGACTTCAGTCAGTTCGGCGCTGTTTGGTTCTGGCGTTCAAAGGTTGATGATAAAGTGAGTCAAATGAAGAAACGCAGACAAAGAAAGAAGAGAAATAATAATATGGCATCTTGTAGAACAAAATGAAACGCACAAACCTTTTGTTTTATTATGAAAACTTTAAACCATTGTGTTTTTTGAGTTCGAGGATATCTCTTTCTCTGCAGGGACGTCCTACATAGCACACCCAAAAAAAAAAGAGAGTTATGACACAATATGCATAACAAAAAGGACAGCTGCACCACATGTGTGCTACTCGAGTGACAAACCTTCTGAGGAATGCTCAGATCCTTGGCGTCAGAATTCAAGCCAGAAGCGTCACCATTCTCCAGTCTGTTCAGTTTTGGAGTTTCAAGGGTTACCGGGCTGTCGTCCGTCTCTTCAATGTGCAGTGGGCCATTGTCTGCTGCAGACAGCTGGAGCTCCAAGCTATCTGATTCATAGGAGTTATTTTGTTCAGAGCTGCTTGCACTTGGTAGATCTTTTTTTCCATCTCCTTTATTTTCCGATTCTACGGGCGGCTTAGGCTCTTCTTCTTTCACAGCCTTTTCTCCTTCAACTTGATTGTTGTTGTCTCCCGACTTCAGCTCACTTCCTGATGCACTCTCTACAGCATCTTCCTGTGCAGAAGGGCTGTGGACCTCACTTTGGTACGACCCTACATCCAGTTCCCTGGACTCGACTAAAGACCCTCTAAGCATGCTGCCTTCTCTGGACAAGGTGCTGTGTCGAGGTTTTTCCGGGGATCTGAAACTAAACCGCTGGCTCGTTCTAGGACTGAAGCTCCTGTGAACCTCAGAAAAGCTGGCCTTCCAAGCCTTTGGAGAGATAAGACTTCGTCTTTTCAGTGAGCCATACCTGGAATATATAGTGAGAGAGAGGGAGTGAGATAGAGAAAGATCAAATTATAGAGATAAGAATTCAGTTCAGTACTGTGGAGTATTGCCAGAATATGGTGGAACAATTCACAAATGAATAAAGCTTTATAACAACAATGCATTTAGCCATAAAGCACAATTAAATGCTTTCTGAATCTGCAAAAGTAATAATTAAAAGAAAATGCTGCTTGTATTATTACTCTAGGGGAAGACACGGATGTGACTATGGCGGGTAATTTCCACATTTTTCTGAAACTGTAATGAGAAATTAAAAATGTTTTTCATTTGGAAATTGCCTTCAAGCTTTAAAGTTAAGAATTAAAAAAACTCTCACCGGGACAATCCCTTTACAGCAAATGCTTTGTCTGGATGCTGAGCCTGCAGCTCCTTTATCACATTTTGTAGATCTTGATTGAGCTAAAATAGAAGATGGATGGTTAAAACCAAAAACTCAGAACAATCAATATTGGGTCACACATAAGAGAGCAAACATACCGTACTCGTTTCCTTGTAGAAGATGTCACGTAAATTTGACACAGCTGAGAAGACAGCTACGTAGCATCCAATACGACTAAAGGAGACAAACATTGACAAGTAACGTGTTTTAAAAAAGATAAATTGTTGCAAATTCAGTTAATATTTGAATAATATCCAATACTGAATAATCTTCATATTCATTCTGATAGAATAAATATATACTGTCAGACCTGTCAAAGAGAACTGGGAGCTCCTCTTTCAGATCGTTATTGATCCCCTCATAGATAACTTTGGCAGTATTCATCTCTTCTTTTGCCTGCAGAATGAAAAAGCAAGTCAATTTCAATGCATGTGTTATAACAAATTAGGGTTGATTACAAAGAGATATTGATGTTATTCTAATTACCTTGCTTATCTTGACATCATCCCTCTTTTTCGCAGTCTGCAGTGCCTCTAGCTGGTGAAGGGAGGAGTCGTAGTCAACCAGCTTTCTTCCCCTCTTGGCAATTTTGTCCTACAGTTTTTACAATGGAGCAAAACAGAGTCATACATATTGTCTATGTACATGTAAGTGAATTATAGTACATGGTTGTCTTAACTTAGTTTTGTGCATTTGCTCTCAGGCTCTTTGTCTGTCTCCATATTGACTTATGTTTGCTTGCATACTTGTTTGCCTTACCCTGACATCAGGGAATTGGCTCACGTAGGACTCCATGGTGCGCACGGCCTGGTCTAATAGCTTCACCTCGTAGTCATTCCACAGGAGGTCCTCCCCCTGCATCACAAGTACAGCGTAAATATTGCATTAATTATGCATAACAAGGGGGAAAATATGGGGTCTTATTTCCCTCGTGATGCATGCATTTCGCTGTTTTTGCACTTGTGGAATTAAAATGTGCTGCAATAGGTCTTTGTTTTTTTAGTACCACTGACCTCAACAATGGCTCCTAAATCTTCCTCTCCAGCCCAGTCAGACTCATAAACATCAAACAGAGACTGGGAAAGGCGCCTTGAAGCTTCACGCATGTCTGTAATGCGTAATGTGTAAATGTGTAAAGCAGAATCGACTATTTGAGACCTGCAGAGGGCACAAATCCACAGTTCTACAGCATCTTCAAACAAAGACTATTTTCACCTCTAACTGCATTAACGTAGACCCTCAAGTCCTTGTATATTCGGTTCCCATCAGTCTGCAAATAAAGCATAAGTATACACATGATTATCTTGCTTACGTTTATTAACTTTTATGATGTTTGATTCACTGCTTTTACTCAATAACCCTGTGTTTGCATATACTGCAAAATGTGTTAAGACAGATATGAGAAACTTTCTGCTCAAAGTCTTTTTAAACTCCCATAATAAAAACAATGCTGGGGGATGATTACCTGCTGGTCACTAAAGTTTTGGAGACAATATTCAAAAAGGTCATCTCTGGTCTCCATTGACTTTCCCAGCCTTTGCATTACCTGCAGATAAAGCACAGAAAAAAGCTAAATCTCAAAGAAACAGCAATTAAATGGCAATAAATTTGTCTTTCTTGCCATAGGGGAAACAGGAACTTGCAGACTATGTACCTTTTCTTTGCCTCTG